AGGGCTGCTGCCATGCAGCCGGCTCTGCCTCCTCTCACATAAGCAAAGGAAAGGGGTGAAAGCGTAACAGCTCCAGCCTAGGGCCTGAGCTACAGGGTCCCTGTGCTCCTTGGGTCCCCACTCTGCCTGGACCCGTGGTGATCATTACAAACCACAAGGCAGCAGCAACGGGAAGCGTGCAAGCAGCACTGGTGAGCACACAGGCAGAGTAAGACATTGAGGGATCTGTCTGGTGAGAATTCAACCAGCAGCTAATACTGGGAAGAGCAGGAGGGTACATGGAGGCTGCTTCATCACTAAGACATCTGCTGTCAAATGCATGGTGTTTGCTGCCAATTTGCGTGGCATCAGCCGTGTCCCAGGCAGGAGCAAAGTGGTGCAGGCAGGTTTGCCTGGCCCTGCAGCTGCCTCTTCCCAATGGCACTGCAGCCTGAGCTGCTGTAGCCAGTCTCTGTCTGCCAGGCAGTGTGCTGGGAAGTGTGGAGGGGGCTGTGGGCAGCAGGAGCTCACCATGCGTCTGCCCTGAAACCCCTCCACACCCATCGGAGTCATGCTCTGTGCCCTGCCGTGACAGCAGTGCCCAGTGGTGATACCTGCTGGCAAAGTGCTCGATCCGGGAGTGGGTGTCGGCATGTGGTAACATCGGGGAGGAGGCTGGTCTGGAAGAGACGCACACTGGTCAGCAAGGCTTGGCAGCCCTCACTCAAAGCTAGGGCTTGGAGAGGCTGCCCTGGTGTCACCTGGGCTGAGAAGAGCCAGGGACAGGCTAGAGAGGGAGACTGAAATCTCTGCTCCTCCAAGAACTAGGTGCCATATCAGCCCCAGAGTAAGTGCCCCCTCCAGCCCTCCCACGGGAGCCCTGTCTCACAGCTGAGATGCTGCTTCCATCCATGGAGCCTATGTATCAGGCAGGGTTAAAAGGCACAGCCTGGGGCCCAGCCAACTCACGTCTCGGAGAAGTCAGCCTCGAGCACAGACTGGACGGGCAGGTAACCTCTCTGTGGGTGCTTGCTGAAGTACTGCTTGGACCGAAACTTGTTCTTCAGCGTTGTGGCAAAGTCTCTCATGTTCTCACTGGATGTGGTCTGCAGAGACACAAACATTACCAAGGTGCTGCTTAATGAAGAGTGGGGGATCACAGTGGGGGATCCGCAGGAAAGTAGTCCCTTCAGGCTGAGCATGAGCTCCACAGAGGAAGAGGCAGACAAAACTGAGGAAGCAAGGAAGGCACACAGCAGCTCTGTCAGCCTGTCACAGGGCCTGGCACAAGTCAAGCTGGGCATTGGTGGATGCCATGCATCCCGCTCACCATGAGCCCCAGAATAGCAGGGACACAGGCAACATCCAGCATACGGAGTGGAACAAAAACATACAAGGGATCCACTTCTGGGGCTGCACCAGCCTAAACATCGCAAGGCTGCTGCCGTCGATGTGGACCTGCTCTGAGCCAAGACCCTCCCAGCCCAGCCCAGCTCCATACCGGGGTGTAGTACTCCATGATGGGGTAGTGCAGCTTGTTGCCCTTGCTGGCTCGCCCAGTGAGGAAGCAAGCCTGGCAGATATCCACATTGAATTGCTTCAGGCTCCGATACCTGAAGAGATCAAGAGGCCATAGGGAGGCAGTGAGAATCAGCAAAACCACATCATTTTGGAGCCCAAGGAGAGCTCAGCAAGGGACAGAGGTGGTCTGTGTTGCTCTTGCACCCCACTGAACCCACAGTGCTGATGGCTGAAGTCCCCAGAAAAGCATCCTGCTCCTTCCCCTCTGCTGGCACCTGGTCTGACCTGCCTGAAACACTGCTGCTGCAGAGCTCTAGGTTCCCCCAACAGCACAGAGAAAATTCAGCTCCCTCCTGCAGGACACCATGCACTTCCCTTGAGGGCCAAGGTCCCATATCACAACCCCTACCTGAAGCCCTTGATGGGGCACTGCCGGCAGACAGAGCACTTGGTCTGGTGCTTCACCTGCTCAGCCATGGTCACCCGGTGCAGCACGGCCAGCCACACCATGGACTGCGGCTCCAGGTTGGCCCACTCCAGGAACTGGGATGCCTCGATGGTGGGCTTCCCGTTGCTCTGGGGAGGGGAGAGGAAGGGGCTGCTCAGAGCTGGGACCCAGCTGTGATGGGGTGCAAGCTCCTTGCCAACGCTGGGAGCCTCTCCATGGCACGGCTGCTGCAAAAGGGATGGCACAGGCCACAGCACCCTACTCACAAAGCGGAAGCAGCTGCGGATGCTGGGCTCCACGTTGCTGCCCCCGAACGCTGCCACCTCCCCCAGCTGGCGTGGGACCTGGATGGCCTCGTGGAGCAGGACGCCAAGGTGCCGCTGGTCACACAGTCCCCCAGCGTTTGCCACTTGGCTGAAGAGATCTGCTGGCAGAACAGACACACAGCCCTGTTAGAGACACATGCCTGATGCCCCGACACAGCGGGCAGGATGCAGGCACAGGGGAGCGGTGTGTGATCAGACCAGGGGCCCTGCTGCCTGTCTCCAGCAGGGAGCTCAAATAAGAGGGAAAAACTGAGCGATAATTAAATAACCTTTACCAGTATCCTTCCAGCTCCCAATAACCAGGAGTTTAAGAGTCTTCTTGAGACAGAGGTTACATACATCACTTCTTTAACAGCCACAGCTGGCCTGTCCTCTATGAATCTGCCCAATCCCTTTATTTAACCCCTAGGTGCTTCCTATGCTAACCCCTCCGCAGTATCCCATCGCAGAGAGCACCATGGTTAAAACACAGTGAGAAAAGGGGCTTGCTATAATTTGTCTGAAACCTACTTCCCAGCCATGCAGGTTTTTTCCTTCTGGGAAGCACTGGATAACTGTTTTCTGTTTGCCTTCTCTGCACTGTTCATTATAGTGCCATGCAAGCAAGATCACCACAGCACCAGTCAGTCTGCAAAAATGCCTCCTAATTTAGGCAGCATAGGCTTGGGGAGGGGGGGAGGGAAGGGTGGTGATGCAAGCAGATTGGTCACTGCAGGAAAGTTTTTGCTCTGTTCTTTCTGGGCAAAGAAGGGCTGAGCCAGGAAACAAAAGCACTCCTGCTTTCCCCAGGTTACTCCACACCAGGCCCTAGGGGACGGAGACAGGGGACTTACACTGAAACTTCTCCTTGACCTCTGTCCCGCACAGACATGCAATGCCTGTCTTGAAGGAGAGCGCCCTCATCTTCCCACTGCGGCCACTGCAAGGTGAGATATTGCACAGGTTTGCAAATGTTTTGGAGGTTTTTTTATGCAGGGGAGTCAGCAAGGCAAGCCCGCACTAGGCAGCCCCCTCGCTAGCGGCCAGGGCCTTTTTGCAGCACTGCCAGCTGGAAGAGCAGCACAGAGGTTTCCTTCCAAGCATAGCAGCCCCACAGCTCAGGGGGACACTGAGGAACGGGTACCTGTCAAAGACATTCAAAAGCCAGTTGAGGCTCATGTCCACACAGAGCGGCACATTCACCAGGATGCCCCGCTCCTCCTCCAGCCTCTCGTAGAGGGCGGTCAGGCAGTGAATGACCTCCACCACGTCCATCGCCCGGTCGCTGGGCTGCAGGTCATGCTCATTGAAGATTTCCAAGGCCGTGGCCAGGGTCACCATGTCCACTGTACAGATGGAGGGATCAGAGGCAGAAAGGAAAACAGGAGAGGTGAGAACCAAGAGGAGGGAGACACAGCCCGCCCTGACCTGGGGCAGTCTCAGCCCCACTGCAGTGCAGACGATGCTGGCAGGATAGGCACAGCTCCCAGAATTGCTCTGCCACCTGTAAACCCCTCCCAAAATACCCTCCTATAGTCAACTTGAGCCACCATTCTGTGTGACCTTCCTTCCCTGTTGCTGTGGCCAGCCACAGCCACGAAAATGCTACCCATGAAAGGCTCTGTGCAGAGCCGCAGGTGCCCAGAGCTGGCCTCTGCACGGGCTGGGTCCCTGTGGGGCTGGTGTGGGGAGGTGAGGGGGCACAGACCCACACAGACCCTACGAGCAACTGCCCAGAGGTGGAGTAGTCCTATCTCCAGCTCTGACCGGCAGCGGGTGTCGAGGCAGAAACCTAAAATGGGGCTAGGACAGCATGGGCTACCCTGGATACCCTGCTTTCAGATTTCTATGGCTGCAGGTTGTATGTGCTACCATGTTTAGCAGCCAGCAATCTTTCTTTCCTGAAAGTCTTTCCATTTCTAAGACCATTTATGTTCTCAGTGCCCAGGGGATCATGTGCCATTTCCACACTGTAACTTCACTCTGTGGAAAAGTCCTCCCTTCTCCTGTCAAAGCTGCTGACAGTTGCACTGGGGACCCCCAATTCACACGCCAGTGAGTATTGCTCCTGCTCACCCTCGCGTCCACACTGTCCATGACTGCACATGGCTCTGACATGTCCCACACTGCCTCTTTCTGATATAGCCACTCACTCCACCAAACCTCTCATCATGGGAAAGCTGCTTTGGCAGCCTCCTTGCCCTTCTCAAGTACATCTTGAATAAGAAGCACTTATTCACGTTCTTCCACATCATTTCTGGGCTGGGAAGAAGGCGCCAGTGCAGCATGTGAGATGCAAGAGATGGGCAACCAAAGATGCACAAGCAGCACATGGAAGGGCTCTGCTTTGCTCTCTGCCCTTTTCCTCACCATGCCTGGTGTTTCTGCGGCCGCTGCTGCATGGACATCTTTGCAGGGTGGCGAAAGCTAACTGCTGCTTCCCCCCATTTGCACTACGTCAGCCCTGAATGTGCCCAGGTATGGGACAGCCTGGTCACCACGGTGTCATGAAACTACTCTGCAGCCAGGGTTCAACTCCCCCAAGTACCAAACCTCCTCTCACTTTCACTCATTGCCTTCTTCCAGGCCTTTCACAAGATGTCAAGGAGCACAGGTCTGCCTGGGACCCCACTGCCGCCTGGCTGCATCTCCTCCCTGTCGGAAACGATTAATTCAGGAGGGGGGTTTCCCTCATCCTGCTGCTGTTTGATAGAGCCTTAGGCGAGAGGCCTTGCCAAAAGCTCTCCAGCAGCCAAGGATGCCACATCTATCAGATTCCCATCCGCGTGCTTGCTGATTCCCCCTAGAAACTCCTCAGCAGTTTCCGAGGAGCAGCTGCCCCTCGGAGAGCCATGCATCATGTTGAACTCTTATCGCATCATATTCACCTGGCTATTAATCCTCATTTTAACTGGAGTTTTACCAACAGTGCAGAAGTCAGGTTTATTGGCTCCCTTCCTCCTCTTTAAGTGGTGGAGCCCTCTCTGCCCCTGCTAGCGAGGCTGGTTTCTGCTCTCAGTTACATCCATGGCTTCTCCAGGCTCCCTTGGAGCTCCTGGGTGAGCTCCTGCCTGATCCCACAGCTTTGTAACTCTGAACTAGACTACTTTGTTCTCAAATCCCTTTGACTAACACCCGCCCTTGAGGCATTTCCACCCTAAGCCTGCAAAGAAAGGCGCTGACACAGACACCTCGCTGGTGGGTTTGCTCAGCTTTCCAGCCACAGGCTCATCTTCCTAGTGCTTCTCGCCTCAGCTACCTGTCCCCTGGTGGGCTCCTGCCTTTGATGTGCTGATAAAAGCTTGTGTTAGTTTAATGCCTTTATCGAGGGAGACCCAGCAGGAGGGAAATACTTCCCACACTCACATCGCAGAGCTTTTTGCACCCGTCGTAGTTTCATAGCCGTCCGATACGCTGAGAACTTGATGTTGTTCAAATCCGCTGCAATAACACAGGAAAAGAAGAATAAAACTGCAGCTCAACATCCTTATCTCCAGGGCAGGAAGCAGCAGTTGCAGTTCCCAGACACCAGCCCCACCAGCAGAAGCAGAGTGTGTGTGGAAGGAGGAGGGGCAGAGCCTGGCAGGGGCTCGCACCCCATTGTTTTGGGGAGCCCTGTGCCACAGAGGGGAGCAGGTGGGCTGGGGGAATCTCATATAGCACCCTACACTGCAAAAAGGTGGATGCTACTCAAATGGTTTTGTGGCAGCCTCCTTACCCAGTGTCTGGTACAACTCCGTCATCTTCGGGTGGTCCCAGCATGTAGTCTGGGCCTGGTGGCTGGAAGGAAAATAGAAGGAAACCAAGAGTCAAGCTGGGAATTAAGCAGCTGCCGTGAGAGGTTACAAAAAAGGACCCGGCCAGCCCTGAGAGCAAGTCTCCCAGTGCCTGCAGATGCTGGGGCCGCTGCACCCCGGTGAGCACCCCCCCCAGCCACAGCAGCAGGGAGGATGCCCACAGGAGGATGCCCTCACTTGCTGCCAGCCCACCCTCCTTCCAGTCAGCGTCGCCCCTCATCTGGGGCATTTCAGCAGGCAGGGAAAGCCTGGCTCTGCCAGGTTGGGGGCAACACACTTCGCTGGAGGTCAGTGCTCAGACCAGTCTGCTTACTGCCCCCTGCTCCTAATTGGTTCCCAATTCCTGTTTCCCACTGGGCCAGAGAAGACCACAGGCTTTGGTTGGGAGCACACTCACTTGATGTAGTACGGCACTTTGTTAGGGGAAATGGCTCGCTCCCAGGGGACCTGGACAGAGGCTGCAAGGAGAGAGACACAGATGTCAGATCAACACCAAACACTCCTTCAGGCTGATGCTGTTTCTGATGAGACACCAGCGGGACTGTGCCAGCAGGTGGGTGCCTCTGAAGAGGCTGTGCCTTCCCAAATCACCAACTGGGGGTGTTGGAACAGGCAAGTGGATGCTGCCTATAAGAGAGGCACAAGACTGCTGGTCTTGTCAGAGGTGTCTTATCTCTCCTGAGACAGGGGCTCTGAATCTGGCTGAGCTCAGAACTCAGGAAGAGACACTTCCTGATGCTTTTGATGATGCTCAAGGCAACGCTGTGGTCACCAGTGCGCAGGGCACATCATCCCCACCAGTTGGGATTCGGGCACACACACAGCACTGCCTGTTATGGCCAGGCTTGGGCACCCACAGCATCTGCTGTTCCCATTACTCATGCTCTGTGTGTCAGCTGCAGTACTTCGGGAAGATGAGGACGCATCCCGTGCCAGTTGCCTGCCACCCTACATTTGTTATCTAGAGGACGAAAGCCCTTTTATGACGCTCAGCTATTTTCCCTTATCATAGGCAGCTTATCAATTCCAGCAACTGGAAAAGTTGCTCTTCCTTTCAGATAGGAGGACGTGGTCTGAAGAGAAACACAGGCCAACAAACCCCACTGACATCTGGAGACCCTGCAGAGCTCAGCATTTACGAGGATGGACCCCAGACTCTGGAGCACAACCTGCTGCCCATCCTTTGCAGGTCTGAGAGCTGTCAGCCAGCCGCAGCTCAGCTCTGTAGGAGCAGCATCCCTCTGCCTCGCCACGTGAATGAAAACCTCCTCAACGTGTGCATTTTTGGCCTCTGAATGACTAACACGGGATATGGGGGACTGCCTTTTTCTGCCATCTGTTGTCTTGCCCACCCAGTCTCTGAGGCTGGCACAGTCCCAGTATCACCTGGGAGCTGTTGCTGCGAGTGTCACAGCTCTGTGCTCTGAAGGGAAACCACACTCATGTCCCACCCTTGGTCCCCCAAGGTGAGGTAGAACAATGCTAACTTTGGGACATGCCTTCTGCTCTGGTTCCTGTGTACCAGGCACTGGCCTGGGCCCTTTTCTAGCTGCAGGCATGTCTCTGGGGACTCTGGGCTGAGCAACAGGACTCTGCACCCCATTCTCCTGTGCCACAGCCCATGCTAAGCCACTCTGCAGAGGCAGCCTCACGGCGGGAAGCCAGGAGGACCTGCTTACGTACAGGAGAGGAAGTGCTGGGAGCCTGGTCCAAAGTCCCGGTGGGCATCTTGGAGCTGCTTCAGGCGTTCGTTTATGGAGGCCTGGAGAATGGGACAGAAGAATTCAATGGCAGCCCATCAGGCATTTCAGATTGAAGCCCCATTCAGGAAGGCTTGTGGATGGACTCAGACATGCCCCAGCACACAGGTCCTCTTCCTTCCTTGCCTGCCTTGGTATTTGCATTCCCCAGTCCACTCAGCCCTCTACACCTCCTCCCACAGGCAGAGGCAGCACAGGCCACATCTCCAGCTCACCTGTATCCATATTTTTACAGACGTCAACAAAGCCACAGCTGGTACTGACCCCCCCATCAGATCCTGCTTTTACTCAGACAGCATCCTTTGTTCTTCCCACTGCCTTTTCCTGCTCAAGACCTCTACAGATTTACCAGCCACTCTCCTCACACTGAACTGATGCTATCCTCCTCCAGGAACACTAGCTATACCATCCCTGCTATGCCAAGCCTTACTTTATTGTCCTTGAAGCTCAACAGTGACAGCCCTTCCCCAGCATCCTCCTGTCTGTGGTTTATTTGCAGTGCTTGGTCCTGACTCCTTCCCACCTGCAGCTGCTTCCAGCGCATGTTGATCTGCTCCAGGGTACGGGAGTTCTCCATGGACAGGTGGACATCTGAGATGGCAAGCTGGTGTGCAAGATCATTGACCACTTTCACCCCATCCTTCATGGGGGAGAGCTCCTCTTTGAACAGCTGGAGTCCCGTGCCCGGGGGAACAGACACAGGGCAGGGGAAGAAGGAAAAGAAACAGGCAAGCGGTCAGGACTTGGATCTGATTCCTCTGCTACAAGCTAAGGTGGGCTAATGGCTGGCAAGACGCTGCTGAGTAACCCTCCCACAGGGTACCTTAATAGGGAAAAAAGAAACAAAACAAACCAGCCAGGCTGGAGATTACTCAAATCTCCTGAGAATTGGAACATGGACAATGGCTTATCTATGCTGAGCCACTGTACCTGTGTAAGGTCTGTGCCATGACAAGGTGCTCAGCACAGCCAATTGCTCAGGACACTGCGGGCCAAATCCACCCTCACAAAGCTAGGGGACTGTCGGAGGGAGGACCTGGCCCCTGAGACCTCAAGTAACAAGGCTGCATTGGACCGAGCAGTCAGGAGGAGCAGCACTGCTCTCCTGGGAAGTAGCATCTCATCACTTCTGGGGCCAAGGCTGGAGCCTTCTCAGAGCCAGAAGTACCTTGGTTGACTGGATGTGCTCTGGTAAGGAGTCAATGAAGAGGTCCCCAATGGGTTCCCAGGTTTCACACACGCTTTCAGCCTGGTCCAGTGTCATGCTGAGCTCCTCCATGGCCCCTTTAATCTCTAGCAGCTGCTCCAGTGTCCGTTCGATGTGACGGTGCTGGTCCACGCACCGGGCTGTGAGCTTCTCCCACAGCTCACTGGCCACGTTCGCCTGCTTCCAGACAAAGCGGCTGATGTTTTGGATCCGGTGCCGGGGAGAGACATCTGTGAAGGCAAAGCAGAAGAGGAATGGAGAGCAAAAATGAGATCCCAGCCCAGAGGAGATTGGGCAAGAGATGGAGGGAGGGCACAGAAAAGGGAGATAAAAAAATCTAGGGAAAACTGGAAAGAGGGAGGGAAAACAAGCGATAATAATATCCATCTCTGCACCAGCTCCTCTAGGTATCCAGCCTGCCCACAGACCTCTGTCTGCTCTCTGTCTGTCCTCACAAGCAGAAGCCCTGCTGCCCTTTAAAAACCTACCCCAGAGCACATCTGATGCTGTTTCATGAGATGCACTCCATCATGGGCTGCGCCAGCAGCTTCTGCCTTTGCCCAGGACAGAAGCACTGCTCTGTGCCAGTCTGACCTTTGGCCAAAGGGTTGGAAACAGCCTGGTGCATGATGGCACAAGGCAGAGCACTGACGTGCCACTTTGTGCCACACCAACCACCTCCACTCCATCCTCTCTGGTCCAGCCCAGGAGGCACTGTGCTGTGCTATGAGAGAACAAGGAAGGGGGAGCTCCACAGACCTTTGCTTTCTGACATTGGTTCTTCTAATTCCTCAAATGGATGCTGGGAAAGGAAGGCCTGTGCTGACTCCAGGACAGAGTAAATGTATGGTCCCCGAGACTTCACTTCTTCCATGAAAGCCTGGAGAGCAGAGCACAGAGATGAGACAGCAGCCTGAGCTGGAGAATTGTGCCCCTGCTGCCCCCTTGCCAAAGGCTGCAGTGATTTATTCACTCCAGGGCCCAAACCTCACTGGAGATATAAAGAGAGGTTAACAGAGAAATATTTTTGCAGTTCGGGGAAGGAATGACCACCTGCAAGAAGGTGGCTCCTGCAGAGGTCTGGACTGCAGCTTTGCTGGAGGGGGGAGGCAGAACAGCAAGCCCAGAAGGGTGTGTTGAGCCAGGGCTGCGCAAGAGGAACTGCTTTATTGATGATGCTTTCACAGGCACTGCTTGGAGACACTCCTCACTCATGCAGTGAGAGCATGGTCATGCAAACAGTCCTTCCAGCAGCTTTTCAGCAACAGGTCCAGCTGCTGGAGGAACAAGGAGGGGGACAGCAGGATGCCCCAAAGCAGCATATCCACCAGGGCAGACTTCAGAGGCAGGCTGGTTTAGGATGTCCTCTCCTCCCCTCCAACTGCAGCCCCCCACTGGTGCTGTCGGTTGGACTGGCTATTTGTGTGCTGGGGAAGTGGCTAGCTCCAGCAAGGATGAGGGATAGCAACAGTAAGCAATAGTTCAGTTTTGTTTTCAAGGTAAAAACAACTAAAGTCCAACAGCCACTGGCAGCAAGAAGGAAATGCTCTGATCAGGGAAGCAGGAAACTCTGATCTGTCTGGGTTTACCCCAGTTTCAGATATGATGATAATGTGCTACTGCAAGAATCACTCATGTCCAGACTACTGGGTCGCCTTTAGACCAACTGACCTCCTCAGGCCCCAGAAACCCAAAAGCAGAGGCCAGTGAGAGGCAATTCCCTCTGTTGCAGAGTTAGGACATAAGGAGGATACTAGGCAAGAAGTGATGGGGCCAACTACCAGCTGCAGCACCTGCAGATGACTTGAGGCTGTAATGCAGATTTATTGCCTAAAACCAGATGGGCTCTGCCTGTCATGTGCCATGGCTATTTGCTATGGGATTGGGGCTCTGCCTTTCCACGGGGAGCACAGATGGAGACGGGCAAGGACTGGTGCACTCACAGGCTGTGGGCATGGGCAGTGATACGAGGCAGGGGTCCCAGGCAGGGCTGCCCACCTGCAGCTCATCTTAGCAGTGAACAGCAGCAGGGGAGGCGCGAGGGAACATACCGCATGTGTCTCCTTTTCCTGCTGCACCAGGAGGACATCGCCTCGCAGGGGCAGCTGTGCCGAGAGCTCCTCATCCTTCTGCCCGAGCCAGTCTATGATCTCCTGGAGAGGCACCTGCAGCTTCCCACTGTGGTCAGAAAAGGCCTCCAGACGAGCCCTGGCAGGAGAGCAAGCACAGCAGGACGGTGGTCAGACGGACAGGAGAAGAGCAGAACAGGAAGGGGAGGCATAGCACCATGGCTGGGGTGGTGACCCCTGGGCATCCACAGGACTGGCATCATGCCTCAGCACAGGCTGTGCATGACCCTCAGCCAGCACAGATGCTGCACCACCAGGTGGGATGAAGCACAGAGGCATTGGGGAGCGGAAACTCTGAGGCTATTCATCACCCTGGAGCCCGGAGCAGAGGACAGAGCTGCTCCGCATTTGCCTGTGGGTTGGGGCTGTGCTCTGGCTAGCACATGGGGGGCTTGGCTCAGCATTTACGTGACTGGACAGCTTCCAGGATCCTTGCATTAAGGCAGGAGACAATTAACACGCCCCAGTTAAGCTCTCCATCATGCTGGCTGTGGAGCTGCAACCTCTGACAGTCTGGAAGGCATGTTCCCCCCGCGCAGTGGAGAGGGCTCCCAGCGAAGGGACAAGCGCAGAGGAGGTGGCGGCAAGGCTATGGGGCAAAAAGAGACAAGCCGCAGAGACAGCAGTGGCAGAGGAAGGAGAAAGCAGCAGAAAGCAAACAGGAGTGAAGGAGGGGAGGGAGAGGAGAACAGGATGGGTGGAAATAGAGGGGATGCTTTTCAGCTTAGGGAGAAAGTCTCAGAGGTCTGTGGCCAAGAGGGGAAAGGGAGCCAAGGTCACTGTGAATTCATGTGGCTTGTCAAGCGAACAAGTTCAAAAACCGCCTGACAAGCACATGCAGCAGGCAAGGCTGGAAGGCCAGGCCAGCCCCGGAGCTTGCCCCAGGCAGGGACTCTTACCGAAGGCTGTGGGATTTCTTTTTGATCTCATTCCAGCAAAGATTCATCTCCAGAGGGGCCTGAGGCCCGGTGGCACCGCTTGGAGCCCGGGGGGTTACACACGAAGGTCCTGCACCATCCTGCGAGGCTTCAACCTGGGCAGAAACAGAACCACGCTGCATCCAGAGAACACTGCCTGGTGTTTACAGCACCTGCCTGGGGACACCTACTGCCCTCTGTCCTGACCCTGCCTGGCTTTTCAACTTGCAAGGGGGGCTGCCCTGCTCCCAGAGGGGTCTGTTAGCAGCTCCAGGGAAGCTCATGGCTGTGTCTGGAGGAAGGATGCAGTGCCAGCTCCAGCAGCATTAAGAGGAAAGGTTGAAGGAAGGGCTTACAGCACATCTCCTGTTCTGCAGGATCTCTGTGCTCCTCAGTTATCCAGCAATGAACTTATCTCACTGCTAGGTATTAAATCAGAGCTGGCCCTTGTGTGTCACAGTCCCTGCAAGGTTAATGGCGATTTTTTTCCACACCATACAGGGCTGCTGTGCTTCAAGAAGAGGTGAGCACCATGGGTCCTGTTGTTCCTAGGGACCAAGGGGACCTGCCAACCTCCTTTACACCATCCCCAGTACTGGGAGCTGCCACCTGCTCCTCTACAGAAGCACAAGGATATTCCCTGCCTGCACAGCAAATCTGAGATGCCGCTTCTCCTCCACAGATGCTGCTTCTCCTCCGCACCTCTCCAGAATGAGTAGTGGTGGGAAGGATGCTCCAAGAGGCCATGGAGCAGATGACAGCAAATCCTAACCCAGCCACATGAAGGGAGCACACTTTGCACCGCGCCACTCAGCCTGGAAAACCAGGTGCTGATCCCTGGACAACAAATCCTTGGTGGATGGGGGAAGGAATCCTCTCCTAAGCCTTTAGCACTGTATCATGCTCCTGCTCGTGATGGCAGCGAAGACATCGTTGCACTTGCTGGTGACAGCAACACACACCAGCAGGACTGGAAGCATCTCACATAGGACTCAGTGACTGACAGGGGATTTCCTCTTCGAAAAACATAGTTTGTTGTGCAAAACACACCGACACATTGCATTTCCACAAGTGAGACGTTGATGCGCTTTGTTGGGAAATGGCAGCATTTCGATCTAATGCTACTTTGATATTAGAGCTCACTTGTCATAATTATCCCCAGGTGATTAATCAACCATAATTAACTGCATTAGCACTTTCTAAACAGCACATACAACAGGTACCCCTTTGCCATAGAAGGGCAGCTGCCTCTGGGGGAAAGCAGCAGCTCTTCCAAGGGGAATGTGTGGATAGTTGTCACTTGTCCTGTCCAATGGCTCCCGAAGGTGTCCAGGGGACAGATCCAGCCAAGCCAAGGAGAACAACAGGCAGGAGGAAACCACCAGATTTTGCCATACAGCTAAAACAATACCCCTTCCATGCCAGTTCTCAGAGAGAAGTCAAATGATCGCCAAGACTGGTGCTAAGTTTGCTTCATCTAAAAACATCTAACACCAGGCTGTTCTCTGCCTCCCCATCCTGCCACTCCAGGAGCATCAAGAAAACAGAGAAAACCGTCACCCACAGAGTTCACAGGAATCTTGGGGCCATGAATAATAATCCACTGAAGATAAAACTGCTGCTTGCATGTAGAAAAATCAATACCCTGCATGTGCACATCCTCATGACACTGAAGTAGGCAAGCCCCACAGCACTGCCAGGGAACACTCCAGCCCTCCCCTCTATCCCAGGGGATACCAAAGCAGGGGGATCAGCTCTACCTGGGTGCAAGTACAACTGAAGGACAGCTCAGCAGATAACACAGTCCTCCCAGCCTTGTTTAAGAAGAAGTTAAAAGCCCACCAAGTCTGCGACTCACAGACCATACCCAGTAGATGAGCCAGTGACAGTGGCCAAGCAAGGGCCAGGTGTTGAACATCTGCTCCCCTAGGACAAAACACCTGCAAGCGAGCAGAGGGAAAAAGCAGTGTTTTCCCTCTGAGCATCCCCCAAGCATTCCTTCCCCAGAGCCCCAGTAGCAGCAGCCTAGATCCACATTCCCCCTCCACCCTTGAACAGCTTTATTTTCAGGCGCAGAACACTCACGCAGGCTCTGGCAAGTGCATCTACCTGTGCTTAGCCACAGATCTGCCGCAGGGCTGCTCAGCTTCGCCGGAGGAACAGGCATTGCCTCTACCCCTCCGGGTGCTGCCTGGCAGCACCCGGCAGGGAAGCAGGCGAGCACTGTGTGCTTAGCAGAGCGGGGTGCCCTGAGCACTGACCCCCCAGGAATCTGGAGGGGGGCGGCAGTGCCTCGCAGCCAGCCTCAATCCCAGCTTTGTCCAGTGGCATTCCAGCAGCCTCCAACCTGCCTTAACCCCGGTGGTGCCATCATGGCTGTCCACAAAGCGGACAGAGATTTGCCCACTGCAGGGCACCCCGGCATGGGAAAGCCCCTTGTGGGAAGTTGGCCATGCACAGAGGGATTGCTCTGGGCACTGGGGAAGATCCATCTCTGCAAGAGCATGGCAAAGGTGATGGTGGGCTGGGATGGAATGAGCAGCAGAGACCTTGCCCTCAGATGCTGGAGAACATGCAGGGTAGACAGGGGTGTTTGCCAGGGAAGAGTTTTACCCAGGGAATGGTCCCAGCAAGCTTTGGCTACCCAGAAGGTAAATAGTCAGGTCCTTGTGACCTAACCCCCAAGAAGCCAAAGATGCCCTCCTTGCCCCCAGTGTGTCCCAGCCCAGTGCTGGGTGCCAGCACAGATGTTCCTGCCCGCCTGGACTGAGAAAATAGCTTGTTTTTGCCAGAAGGCTCTGGGCTGGCTCCTTGTGCCCCCCACAGTCCTGCCGCCCGGCATTGTTTCCATGCTCTCCTCCACCTACAGGGAGGGAATGAAAAGCTCCCTGTATCTCTCCCTCTCTTCCCCTCCTTCCCTGTCTGCACATCTGACTGCTGCTGTCTATCCCTCTGGGACCAGCACAGACAGCTTCGCTTACCTACCCCCTCCCAGG